GGAAAGTTGGATTCAGGCTTTTCGGAGCCTCCAAAGTGCTTCGAACTGGACACTGAAGTAGTTGTTGAAGTACGTGAACTTTGGGGACTGCCAGTGTTTCGGAATCCTGAGCTCGTAGCATCTGATCCTAGTTTTTGGTTACTTCCGAAGAGCTTCGAAAAGTAACCCGGTGTTCCAGTTGCAGACTTTTGGGGGCTTCCCAAAGTTTTCGACTGTGAATCTTGGGATTTCGACGTTTGAGCACTGCTGCCGAAATATTTGGAGAGATGCGACTCTGGCTTTGGCACTGTGGCACTGTATGAGTGATGGTTACTGATCAGGCTAGTTTGCCCTTCTAAGGCACTAGATGAAGATGGTCCCTTACATTTAGCAGGGTTTGCTGTTGAGGCATCTGCGGCAGGCTTGGAGGAACCAGCAGCACTGACTGCTCTCTCTGGAGATTTGAGGACTATGGCCTGGAAGAGATCTCGTACCGACCTCTGCTTGCCTCTTAAGTCATTGACTTTGGCAATTCTCACAGGTGAGCCATTGACGTTGATGAAGGCATTAGTGTTACTAACAGACTTTCTGCGGGGAACATTCGATGCACCTGAGCTGACTCTTTTGAACGAGTTTGCCTCGATGGGCTGTAGTCTTGGAAGAAGCGGTGAGTCAGGAGGAGAGGCGAGAGGTTCGGGTTGAGCTTTAGGAGGACTCTGACTCTGCTTGTCCGTGGAAGTCTGTGTGTTCCCTCCAAGAATAAACCCTCTCCCACTGAATGGAATGACATTTCTGATGTCTTGTGAGCCAGAGCCTGCAACACAATACATATAGTTCAGTCATATAAAGCTAAAATTTGATTGTCCAGAAAAGCGTACAGTGTGGGGCTATCAAAACATTGCTCTTTGTTTGTTTGAGCAACTTGATATTGCAACACTGGCTCAACCAATGGAATTAGTTTGGGGTGGGACCATCTGTTTGTTTGACCAATGGCAGACAGGATTTGTGTTCATGAAGCCTTAAGGTGCGTTCACGCCTTTGTACAACCCGTAATTACTACTTGTAAACTCAGGAATTTCCGAGAGCTGCCACCTGCAATACCTGACCTCTGCAACATCATCTAGAAAATTTTTAAATGGCAGTGACTTCAAAAGTAAAATGTATTTCAGCCACTGATCAACAATGGGACAATACAAGTTTATTAAGCATAACGTCTGTAATTGTTGTTGCAGTTTTGTCTACTAATTACAGAAATTGCACAGATTAATTTTGGCATTAACATTGTTGCCACAGAGCACCATACAGCACCGAACAGAATGTCGGTGTCTTATAGTAATTATAGAAAATATAACATAAAAATAAATTCAGTATGTGTAGAAATTCACATACTTCACCTTCAAAAATTTAAAATAAATGTTCAGACCTTTTTTGATTTCTTTTTTATATTTAGCATTTGCTCTTAAAGATGGTCCATTTATACACCGTTTAACTCTTTCCCCACCATTGACAGAATTTGCCATCATTTATGAGACAACGCTTCACTGCCATTGACGAATTTTTGAATTTTCTGGCTTTCCGTGTTTTCACTGTTATACGGTAGGTGGCGCTATTAGAAATCTTCTGAAAGTGTATTAAAGGGTTAGTTCACCCAAAAATGAAAATTCTGTCATTAATTACTCACCCTCATGTCGTTCTAAACCTGTAAGACCTCCGTTCATCTTCGGAGTGAAGGGGTTAAACCGTAATATTACGAAGCTATGAGAATACTTTTTGTGCGCAAACAAAACAAAAATAACGACTTTATTCAACAATTCTTCTCCCTGAGTTACTGTCTTCCACCATTTTGGAGAGTATCCCAGAACGTAATCAGCATTGTTTATGTTTAGTAGACAACGTGCGCATGCTGAACGTAAACAACACTTGAGTTGTGCAGCCTGCTCTGATAGGAAGGGTCTAATCATTAATCTCTTAATGTTGTATAAGGCAAATCTGCAGGACCGGGCCATTGTAGCAATATGGTCTGTGAGTAATTAATGACAGAATTTTCATTTTTGGGTGAACTAACCCTTTAAATCTCTAGATCAAAACACGGCGAAGAAGCAGAAACAAGCGATCGTGTATGTAAGCAGATACATATGTAAAATAACGCGATCATCAAGCATTATACAGCATATGAATTAAAACTGCCTAATGTTACCGAATGAAATGTCGACCCAGGAAGTGGTATAGAACAGTGCAAGCATTGGATGTGTTGATGGACTCGATCTACTCCATCTATGTTTTGATCATCGATCTGAATCTGATCCAGATGAAGTCTTCGACAAAAAGGCGATTTTCTCAGCTTTTTGTTCAAAATGTTGCTCTATTTTGTTTAAAAGCAGAGGCTCTGTTCTTTCTTTTGACTTATTGCATGTTCAGATCATCATGCAACAAAATATTCTGGGGGCCATTAAAATTTTGTGCAAATGATAAAAAATGCTGGCAGTGGCTGGTAACATTTTTAAAAACACTGGTGGGAAAAGAGATAATAATGTGGGGATGTTGACTGGATCACCTGTTGTGCTGCTTGGAGGCTTCGTATTCTTGGAGGTCTTATCGGAAGGATTCTTGTCTTTCTTTTTATCACTTTTGCCTGTTTTCTCATAATTCTCTGGCTCTTTGATTTTGGTGTATGTTCCACCGCAGGTCCTTTGGTGCTCAGCCCACCAGGGGTCTCTTGCCGAGGGAGGCCTGTTCATCGCACGCTTTACGTATCCAAAGAATGGTCTGTGATTCTGACAGGGTCCGTTACAGCGCCACCAGTGCTGCCTGTACACGTCCACCTCATCGTGGAAGGAGTGATATATCTGTGAGAAGAAGATAGGTGTTTCCAGGTCCAAACATCTACTCCGTTTCAACTGAGAATACTATCTCGACAGCTGTTTATGAGCACCATTTATTTATTACTTTTGGGGTATGATATAGCATTTGGATCCCGGAAACGGTGACGTCCAACTGAATATTGTTTAATATTGAACATCAGAAATGCATCTTACAGTGATGTTAGTGCCGCTTGCTTGGTTGATTCTGTTCATGTGTTTGCAGAACTCTGGACCATGGCCATCTCGATCTCTGTTGTTTTGAGTCACAAAGAGAAGAGCATGGATCATCTCATGAAGAAGAGTCTGTGGAAAGAAACAGTAACAGTAACCGATCAAGAAACACATTTAGGGCACATTATCTGATAGAAATTGAAAAACACAATAAAAGTAAATGAGAATTTGAATTTTCCTCACATAAAGCAGAAAGGAAAAAGATGCTTAAGAGTTATTACATTTTTATGATAGATTACAAAAACAATTTTTTTTATTTAGAATAAGGATAAATATAAATATAAAGAATATTTATAACCATTTCTTACTATGTCTTAGTAAGTTGTTGTTTTTTAGCATGTGTGTTTGGCAGTGTTATTTTTTAGGATTACTGATAAACTACTGTCGTTTGATTTGTATTATTTGTATTTGTTATTTATTTTAATTTGAGTTAAATTATGTCTGAATTTATTATGTCTGTATAGGTCTTTAATTAAGTTTTAGTTTTATTTAATTTGAGTTATTTTACTACTTCAACAAACTAAATGGAAATGAAATAATATATATATTGAATTTATAAATGTGTATGTATATATATATATATATGTATGTGTGTATGGTTGTACATACACACATATGTAGTTGTTTGGCTTAGTGTTATGTTAGAATCATTATTATACACTTATACCTTTTGTTCTTTACTATTTTGAATTGTTTTTAGCTTTATTTTTTGTTTTTCATTTAAATGTTAAGTTTTGAAATTGTGTTGTATGCATTTGTCATTTTTATTTAATCTCATTATTTTTAAAATGTGTATAGGTAGTATTCATAAAGTTTTAGCTTTTAGTTTTGGATCTGTTTTTAGTTGATTTAATACTACAATTGATTGCTTCTGTTGTCCTCATTTGTAAGTCGCTTTGGATAAAAGCGTCTAATAAATGACTAAATAAAATAAATAAATTATATACAGTGGGTACGGAAAGTATTCAGACCCCCTTAAATTTTTCACTCTTTGTTATATTGCAGCCATTTGCTAAAATCATTTAAGTTAATTTTTTTTCCTCATTAATGTACACACAGCACCCCATATTGACAGAAAAACACAGAATTGTTGACATTTTTGCAGATTTATTAAAAAAAAAAAACTGAAATATCACATGGTCCTAAGTAATCAGACCCTTTGCTCAGTATTTAGTAGAAGCACCCTTTTGATCTAATACAGCCATGAGCCTTTTTGGGAAAGATGCAACAAGTTCTTCACACCTGGCTTTGGGGATCCTCTGCCATTCCTCCGTGCAGATCCTCTCCAGTTCTGTCAGGTTGGATGGTAAACATTGGTGGACAGCCATTTTTAGGTCTCTCCAGAGATGCTCAATTGGGTTTAAGTCAGGGCTCTGGCTGGGCCATTCAAGAACAGTCACAGAGTTGTTGTGAAGCCACTCCTTCGTTATTTTAGCTGTGTGCTTAGGGTCATTGTCTTGTCGGAAGGTAAACCTTCGGCCCAGTCTGAAGTCCTGAGCACTCTGGAGAAGGTTTTCATCCAGGATATCCCTGTACTTGGCCGCATTCATCTTTCCCTCAATTGCAACCAGTCGTCCTGTCCCTGCAGCTGAAAAACACCCCCACAGCATGATGCTGCCACCACCATGCTTCACTGTTGGGACTGTATTGGACAGGTGCCTGGTTTTCTCCACACATACCGCTTAGAATTAAGGCCAAAAAGTTCTATCTTGGTCTCATCAGACCAGAGAATCTTATTTCTCACCATCTTGGAGTCCTTCAGATGTTTTTTAGCAAACTCCATGCGGGCTTTCATGTGTCTTCCACTGAGGAGAGGCTTCCGTCGGGCCACTCTGCCATAAAGCCCCGACTGGTGGAGGGCTGCAGTGATAGTTGACTTTCTACAACTTTCTCCCATCTCCCGACTGCATCTCTGGAGCTCAGCCACAGTGATCTTTGGGTTCTTCTTTACCTCTCTCACCAAGGCTCTTCTCCCCCGATAGCTCAGTTTGGCCAGACGGCCAGCTCTAGGAAGGGTTCTGGCCGTCCCAAACGTCTTCCATTTAAGGATTATGGAGGCCACTGTGCTCTTAGGAACCTTAAGTGCAACAGAAATTTTTTTGTAACCTTGGCCAGATCTGTGATACCTTTTGTTCTTTAATATTTTGAATTGTTTTTAGCTTTATTTTTTGTTTTTCATTTAAATGTTAAGTTTTGAAATTTTGTTGTATGCATTTGTCATTTTTATTTAATTTCTTTATTTTTAATGTGTATAAGTAGTATTTATAAAGTTTTAGCTTTTAGTTTTGGATCTGTTTTTAGTTGTTTTAATACTACAATTGATTGCTTCTGTTGTCCTCATTTGTAAGTCGCTTTGGATAAAAGCGTCTGCTAAATGACTAAATAAATGAATAAAATAAATAAATAAGGTGTAGTGTTGAATTGTGCACAATAAGACCAAAACATGTATTAACTGTAAAGCCTGACATACGAAATAATATCCTGAAAAATCACCCTTTTTTAATGAAACAGTGAATAAAAAGTAAGGTTCTATTAAGAGGCCCAAACTGGCCAAAAATATGCAATTTAGTGCAGAAGATGAAAATCCAATAGCTTGTAATGTAATCAATGAGATTTTCATAACAGTATAACAGACTACATACATAAAATGCATATACTGTAAATATCAGTTGACACTCTATATCTTCCAATATGTCTTAGTAAAACTGTATTTAAATCCTTAGTTTTATAATCAAAGCTCCGTAGATTTTATTGTGTGTGTGTGTGTGTGTGTGTGTGCTCAAATGGGTATAATGGCATATTTCAAAATATGTACAAAATAAAATAAATAAAATATACTTTTATTCCATTTATAACATGTTAACATGTGGTACAGTTCTACTACTGTATAATTATACATTTTATATTTGTAAGCTATGTTTGTAATAAAGTGTATGAATTAAAATATAAGTATGATTATATATATATATATATATATATATACATACAGTTCGTAGATGCCTTCAGCAAGCAGGTGTTTGACAGCAAAGAAAGCTTGTCCACCGCTGCAGAGTGCGTGAAGTTCGCCAGTGAGCACTGCATGCAGCTGAGCGAGATCGGCTTGGATCTGACCTTCATTTTACGATCTTTACTCGTGAAAGACATCAGGGCGGCTCTCCAAAGCCAGAAAGACATCATCATAGAAGCAACAAAGCATCGTAACTCTGAGGAGATGTGGCGTAGGATGAACCTGATGACTCCTGAAGCTCTGGCCAAGCTCAAGGACGAAATGCGAAGCTGCGGGATCGGCAGTTTCGACCAGTATACGGGAGAAGACTGCTGGGTCAACCTGAGCTACACCATTGTGGCCTTCACCAAGCAGATGATGGCCTTCCTGGAGGAAGGGCTGAAGCTGTACTTCCCAGAGCTGCACATGGTGTTTCTGGAGAGCCTGCGGGAGATCATCCTGGTGGCGGCGCAGCATGTGGACTACAGCCTGCGCTGTGAGCAGGAGGCCGAGAAAAAGGCCTTTATTCTGCAGAACGCATCGTTCCTGCATGAGACTGTGCTTCCTGTTGTGGAGAAGAGGTTTGAGGAGGGAGTCGGGAAACCTGCCAAACAGCTCCAGGATCTGAGGAAGAGCTCTCGGTCTGTCAGGGTCAACCCCGACAGCACCATGTCCGTCGTCTAATAGAGATGTGGATGGACGTGAATGAATGAGACTGCTAATGCACTGTAGGTCTCCAAATCTCAATACATTTCACTCATATGACTCATTTTTGGTGTTGTGATGCACTCCGAAACCTCTCTTTAAAGAAATAGTTCACTGAAAATAGAAATTCTGTCATTTTTTACTCACATTCATGTCGAACCTTTATGTTGTTGTACATAGAACACAAAAGGAGAATACATTTTTACCCCCCCAAAATTTTAAAATGGGTGTCAAGCTTCAAAAAATGGCTAAAAAGCACAATTGAAAAATTAGTCTTCAAATAACAGCATATGGGTTTGAAACAGAATGGGGGTGAATAAATGGCAGAATTTTCAATGTTATGTTTGTGTCCTTTAAGTCCAACTATGGAAGCCTGTTTCTGCCACAGAATAAAACAAAAAACGTAACTGCGGCTTTTTATCTCACAATTCTGACTGTTTTTCCTTGCAATTCTGAGTTTATATCTCGCAATTCAGACTTTTCAGTCGGAGACAAGATTCAGTGAAGATATAAACAGAATTAACTGATGTAAGATGTAAAGTGAAAAGATTTAAATGTAAAAAAGTTTTGTGACTGACTTTTTATCTCAATTGTGTGTTTTTTTCTCGCAATTGTGAGTTTATATTATATATTATAATTCAAACTCCTCAGAATTGCTTATAAACTTATAATTGAAAGTGCTTATAATTGAAAGAGTTTATATCTCGAAATATGGACTCTTTATCAGAAGTGTGATGAAAAAAGTCAGAATTGTGTTTTTAAAAAAATGGCAATTACCTTTTATTTTTGTTCCGTGGCTCTATATCAAGCCAAACGGCAACTGTATAAGACTTAAGTTTAATAATATTAATTGTTTTAATTGTGCTTTGTAGAGAGATCAGCTGTTGGTTCTTTAGTCATTTATAATGAACTGTATATTATTAAACTATATAGAAATTAAAATTGTCCTTCTAATTAAAAGGTAAAGAATTACATTTCATTTGTCATTTCAATCAAACAAAAATATGGATGTAAAGATGAAAACACTTTTGTTTATACTGCTTTCTTTTGAGTGTATTTTTGTACACAAACTAGTAAACACCCTGTTTATAAAAAAAAAAAAAAAAAAAAACAATGTGCTTTTTTTAAACTCACTAACATGCTCTGTACTTTTGATGCTGTGCTCCAGATATCAAAGCTTTTAAATGTGGTGCCCCCTGGTGTACAGGGAATTGTTCAATAAAAGTAAGGCTCTGTTAAAAATCCCAAAGCCAGAGTCTTGACAATAACCCAGAGTTATTAAAAATATTCCCCTTTCATCTGTTTTTTTTTTTCTCTTTGATACTGCTGTTTCTGTTCTCTGCCAGACTTCATATCCTTGATCAAATATTCACAAGGTCTTTTTGTATTGTATTGTTGTTGTTTTAACCCTTCCGGCACATAA